ATTACTAGTACCATAGACTCTGAAAAGTATCAATCATCTGTAGAATTTGAAGGTATCTATATTTTTACAAGCCATTTAGCGAGCAAGAATTTGGAACTGGATTGAAACCTTCTTTCTATCCTGACTTCCATATTTAGCCATTAGAAATATTTAAAAAAAAAATTATAATCAAAGCCTTTGGAGTGTTCATTAAAAATCCTATATATCATGTAGCCATTTCCAGTTCCCTATTTCTGTAGGATCACCAAGCCCAAACCATATTTTAAGGGTTTTTCAAAAGTGAATAGAGTTAAAACTGCCAGCCTCCCACCACCTCAAAAAATTGGCAGCTACGCCAGAAACCCTCCCTGAACTTCTACACTGGGCATGCAAGTGGATCGGAAATAGCTTTGTTTGGAGAATTGCAGTGACTTTTTTTATGGTTGTCATGTTGGGTAAACTAGCCATTATTTCTTCAGCAAAACATATCTAAACCATGGATCAGTATAAAATATTATCACAGTCCATACATTGTCCCATGTCTTCACTAGTTCTTCTTAAAACTTTTTCTTAAATGTCCCAAGGATTTTCTACTAATACTTTTCAGTAATAAAATTATGTTTATAACATAGTTACAGTATAGCCCTTCCAAAAATCTTACTATAAGATGCATGTTGGAAGAAGGCAATTATCAGCAGAAACAAAACTTACAAATGATCAGAAGTTAAGAATGATAAAAGAATTGTCCAGCTGTTCCACTTCTCATGGAAGGTCATTGGACTTCCTTCAAACTCACACTTCCAAAGAGTTGTGGCTTTTAGACTGATATTTACTTGTATTGCTTTGCTGATTTTAACAACTATGAAAAGCCAAAAAATAAATACATAAACATGACACATTCATTATTGACAAATTATTGATAGGCAAGTGGTATTTTACTTATATGTTTAAAGCGATTTAATTTTTATGCTGTCACATCACTTTAATTATTTTATTGGTTACCAATGCATCAGATTTTGGCACAGAAACAAACTGGGGGATTTGGGGCCAGTCACTCTCTGTCTACTCTAGGAAGAAGGCATGGGTAGGGGATAGGCTGTTCCTGGGAGGGACGAGGGGGAAAAAACAAGAGTCTATACTTCCTGTTCTGTTCCCACTGCACGTGAGTCTGTGTGCAGCTCGATAGACAGTTGAACCCTCCTACTCTTCAATGAAACAGACCGTGGTGTGGATCTGAATGTTTTATTGTGAGAACAAGGTACACTGAAACTGAGGAAATACAAATAGTGAAAATCAAATATAAATACAAGATAGACAGCATTAACTAACAACTAATATAACAATCAACAAACAAACAGCTTGAACCTTACCAGTGAGGCTCTGTGTGAGGGACGTAGGCCCATCTCTGGATTACTATGTATCACGGTCAAAATGGCTGCTTCTGTCTTCTCCAAAGGCTGAGAGAAAATAGAGTTTGGCTTCAGACAATGTAGTTAGGCTTATCTGTCGCTGACTAGTAGGTGGGCTAGAGCAAGAACAGCACAATATTTACAAGTTGTGGCATGACACTCCCTGCCTGGTATCAACAGATACCACTATTTGAGTTCTGAGGTGGTAGCCTTAGGTGAGCTGCTATCGCTTTTTTTTTTGCTGATATGGTTGTCACCGAGGTGAGGCTTCTGAGAACTCGACAGTAATATAACATCCCCTTGGTAGCTTCCTCTCAGGCTTGCTGAGGTCCTTTGATACGTATCCAGCATCATTATGTGGCAATAGCACCTGAGTCATGTCATAAGGTATCTGGACCGTGACTTAGCTTTGAGGTTTGCACAACACTGCTCCTGTTACTATGAGGCTGCCTTCAGATTCTGTGTTGGATGAAGAATCTCCATTCATTCGGGATCTGTGAGACTCTGACTAAACAGATTTTGGGTCAGGACTTGCCATCTGCAATCTCTTTGCAGACTTCTGTGGATTTTGTATTGATTTCTGCTGTGGCTGTAGCAGTGGGTTCTTCCTCCCTGCTGTGCTCACTGCCAATGTAAGTGTGCTGTAAAGTCCATGGCGCTGGCCCTGGGTGTAAAGCTGTGTTGTGGCCTGTGCTGCCACATTCCGTGCACTTTACACTGACCTTACAGTCGTTGGCAAGGTGGGAAATTGATGACCAGCACTTGTAGCAGATGTTGTTTGCTTTCAGGGAAGCTTTGTGATCTTCTATGGACTTCTCCTTGAAGGCTCTGCATTTTAGGAGAGGATGTGGCTTCTGGTGTATAGGACATTGATTACCAGGATCTCTGATCTCTATGTAAGAGGAGTTGGCAGACCTGTGAAGGGAATCTGGAGCAATCACATTAGTTTTGTGGACTGCTACTAGAGACTTACGAGGATTACGTTCTGAAGGAGCAGCACACAACAATGTGAAGTCAAAGCTAGGATCATTTCTTGTTTTAGCTTGTTGGCACACAAAATCCTCAAAAACAAAAAAGGGGGGAAATGGAACATTGTGCTCTCTTTTATATTTGGAGCCATATCTGAACCACAGCTCTTGTAAATTATAAGGTAATTTTTTTACAATGGGGTTGACACCTCTGGATGTGTCAAGGTTTGCAAGTCCTTGCAAGTCCCCTTCCAACTTAGCTACTTGAAATTCCATTAGTAAGTCGCTAAGTGCTAGGCAGCCTGGGAAACCAATAGAGTTTTTCGAACAATGCATTCTCCACTGCTTCTACTGAGCCATAGCACTCATCAAGTCTGTCCCAGATTGTTTTAAGGCCTGTTTCAGGGTAGTTTATACTTATTGCCCTGATTCACTTGTCATGCTCAGCAGATTCACTCCCAAGCCATTTAATTATTAGATCTATCTCCTCATTATACGACCGATCCAAGCTCTGATGGCATTTTGGAAGAACAATTGCCAAGCTCTATAACTCTCGGGACTATCATCAAACCTTTCAAGTCCTTGTGTGACTAGTTCACATCTTGCAAGAACTTGGCAAGGCCGATTGTGCATTGCTGTGGTAAAAAAAGTGTTGAGTAGTCCTACCTTGGGAGTCTCCGGTTTCAGCTAACTTTTGTTAAGACCGATAAGTGAAATTACTCTGAATTACAGAACAAATATAAAGGACAATTTTGCTTTTCTAGATCCTAACATGTTAGAAATAAACCATTAATAAGATTATTGAACATTTACAAACATACAAATATTGAATTAGAAATCTGAAGAAGGAACTAAAATTTTAGGAAATGTTTCCCAAAAGATGAAAATCCTCAATATCAGTTATAATGCTCACAATTTTTGAAATGGGAATCGGCCCACCTGGGAAAAGAAAAATATAGAAAGTAATCTGTATAATCAAAGATAATGTCATATGATGTTCACAATTTGTTATGCAGATTAAGAAGAAAAGAAATAGAGATCCAGTTACAATGTATACTTTTAATTTCTGTTTATTGGTGGAAGAAATAGTTGTTCCCAATTCTTAATGGCCTCCTGTGGCTAAATCAACATCAGTATAGTTCAGAAATATGAATAAAAGAACATTAGATTCTGTTCATAATAGTAAACCAAGAGAGTATTATTTATTTAATATATCAACACTACATCACCACTTTACCTTTCAGGTAAACATAATGCTGACATAAAGCTGTGTAGAGGAAGAGGAGAAGGCAAAAGTGAAAATTGGTTCATTTTAATTCTAAAAAAGCCATAATATGCTTTATTTTTTGCTTTGGTATGATGCCAAATAAGGTAGGTTTAGCCATTATATAGTTTTCAAGGTGCTGCCTAGGCTCATGTCATCATAGACGGAGTATTTCATCTAACTAATTAAAGCAAGAGTCTTTCTTACCAAAATCTCAATTTTTTATAAAACAGTGTAATGTGCAAAAAAAGAATTGAAGTGGGAAGAACAAGAAGTTTTGCACAACATCCACTCAAAACACTCAGGTAATTTTTTCAACATTAATCTCTGACCCCATACTGAAAATAAGATTCATTAGTAATTAGCTTAGATACGTTGCCTATATCAATTTTAATACATTCTATGTCTAATTATAATCTTCTCCTGGTTTTCCTACATTCCACTTTTCCAATAATGTCTTTTTTATATCTAGGGATTTCATGGATTGATTAGAAAATTTATCATTAAAATCTTCTTCACTGTACAGTTGTAAGGCTTCTCTTTGTGTTTCAGGACTCATACAAGGTTTGTAAAAAGCTGGCATTATACAGAAAGATCGTATCTATTTTTCCAGAGCTGGGCTGAAGCAAGAAGTCATTGGTAAAAAGTCATAGGGCTTCCAGCTGGACAAATTAGATTGTGTCAGGACATTAAACCTAGATATGTTAAATTATTATTTCTTCCAGCAAATAGCAAACTCCCAAAGAACTAAAGTGTGAAACAAAATGCAGCACATCTATGTCTCTAATGACTCTAATAACAATTTAAGAATCTGAATATTAATGGATTTCCTTGTAAAATAAAATTTTAAAAAAGTTTTTGTGTCCTAATTTTGTATGTGCTAAATTGATGTTCCTGCTTGAGGAGGTTTTCTGTTAATTTCAATATCAAATGAATCTTGGTGACTTGAGGATGGTGCCTGTACAAAATGGTCCCTATTGCATGCTGAAGCAAATCAGCTTAAAAATCATTAATTTTCCTTTTTTTATTTTGTAAACGAGTGTAGAATTTTCTTTGAATATCCTAACTGATGTTACAAAAAATGTCAACACCACTGCCAACCCTTAAATAAACAGATGATTATTATCATTATCTTTATCATTATTCCTCCTCCTCCAGCTGGGCGCCTCTCCCCCCCCCCCCCCCCCCCCCTCCTCCAGTAATCTGTAATGATTGGTGCTCTGCAAGTCCCTGACCTTTTAAGGGCTGCCAACCGGTCAATCTAAAGTGACAAGTTGAGGACTTTCGTAACAGATATCCCCACAAACCAATCGTCTCTTGGTTCATCTCTCCTGGAAAGACTCAAGAGCCAATGAACGGGCAGGGGAAGAACTAGGGACCGGCTGAACTTAGCAGAAGTGGAGATGCCTTGGCGATTCTCTCTGCTTGCCAAGCTGCTGCAGGGTCGCTAACAGACTGGGGTTTTTTTTTGCGTACACTGGACGCTGCAGCCACGCTGGTTCTGGCGCCAAGTCTCTACTGCTGTTGCCAAAATGGTGATTAAAGTGTTTGTGGCAACGTCCTCGGGGTCGACGGCGGTAAGAATATCTGTGTGATTTATGCTTCTCCGCAGAAGTCTTAGGAAGCTAGTTGCTTGCTTTCTCGCAGTTTAAGAAAGGGGTGTGTTGCTGCTCTGCAGTCTGAGCCCATGACAAAAAAATGCGCCCCCCAACTCTTCTCTCTCTCTCTCTCTCTCCCCCCCCTCCCCCTCCCTCCTTACGCTTTGAAATTCTCCAAGCGTGCAGCCTTGTTAGTCCGTTGTTGCAACTGAAGTTAATGCCCACCGCATCGGAAAAATATTGTCTTCATACCATGCCACAAATTAGTCGATTCACCATGTAGCAAAAATACAAATTGTTTATTTCAGACAGATTGAAAATGCACAACATGTTAGAGTTTTATTTTCAACAACCTTGCTAAGGCCTGCTTAAAGTTTGCTAGTTATATGTTTGGAGGAGAATAACAGTTTCGATTGATTACATTAGTGCAGAAAACACTTTCTCTTGGTAGAAATAGGCAGTGGATATATTAAAGGGTTCCTTTCTACAGCTGTACACATTATCTCCACTTTTCAGGTTATTTTAAGCTTTCCTATCTCAATATCCTATATCTTAATGGTGACATTCTGTTTTCAGAACCATTATGTTTGCTGAAGTGAAGAAAGAGTAGGCAAAGAGAAGGTGGGAACTGGGAACGAAGAGTTTCCTTTTATATCCAGTTCCCACATGAGCTCAAATTGCAGTCTTGGCTGAGCAATCAGCCACAGTGACGTATCTAAACAAACTGGCTGCAGTCCTACATTCATTGCTTGCTGGCTTTCATGAAGACAACCTCAAGAAGCTTCCAGAGAAGAATGGTTGGCAAGCCTTGATGAAAGAAGTTTGGCTGGTGTTTTTTTCTAGGCTGAGGTCCACCAAACAAATAATGGCAATAGCCTTGTGAGAAAGTTGTCTATATTTCATGGTGTCTTAGAAATATAGAATTTTAACAGGATAATTGGTATGGAACAATGGAAGTTTCAATGGAAAGTAAAAGTTACTTACAATGAACACGATAGAAGCTAAAAAGCCTTTGATCTGCCTCCCCTCCTTTTGATCTGAAGTCAGAGAAACCCCTCTCCACTAATAAAATACAATTCCTTAAAGGCAATAGAATGCTGACAGGCAGCCCTGGAATCCAACAACATTGAAAAAGCATGGGAGTTTTAACATCTGTGCCCATGCTCTTCCACCTCGGTCTAGCCAGGGAGATCGCTGCTGATAAAGAAGGTAACAGAATATTTGCTCTCACCATAAAACTATTTCCTGCTTTCTCTTGGTCATAAAAACATCTCACTCACACCAAAGGCTAAAAATTGTATATAAACCTTGCTAATTTATCGGTGTGTGGTGAACTGTCCCAGAAAAAAAAAGTTTTGTACTGTTTCTGACCCAAATAAAATAAGAACTTTCTTCCCAAGCAGCTGCCCTTTGCCTGTTTTTTTTTCCCTTGGAGAAAGGATCCCTGGGAGTTTCTTGCAACAATTGGCACCTTTGAGATGGGATTCTGGGATGACTTGACCCACAGACCTGGCCCGGGTAAGCTTTCCACTACTGCCAGCAACAACAGACCATTTTGTCTGTAGATGAGCTTCCCCGACTATGCCTGTTCGGTAAGATGTAGTAAAGGGGGCCTTGAGTCGAGTTCTCCTTGGAAAGGTGGCGAATGCCACCAGATAGTTGTGCCTTATGCTCAGGGGTGTAAGTGTATGTGAAGGGGAAATCCCCTTTTCCTCCTCTGCAGTAGAATCTTGTCCCTTTTGTGCTATTCTTAACAGCATCCAGCCTCTTACTAGCCCAAAAAGCTGTGACCAATGGAATCTGGAAAGCAAGGGCTTTGGGCAAAAATACAAGCACTGCTGCTGGAAGAAAAGGATGTGTGTGTGTGAGAGAGAGAACTTGCACCTGGACAACTGCCTCCTGATCCCTGAATGGTCCCTGAGAGGTCCCTTACTCTAGCCAAACTAGAGTCCTTTTAGACTTAAGGTGTGGAAGCAGTGAGTGGGTTCTATAGATAAAAATAGAGGGCTGCTTGTGTGTGTGTCCATGTCCCTGGAGTGCATGTGTGCACTCCAAACTGACCTGCAACTGTGGTTGGATAGTATGAGGAACACCATATCAGGAGTTCTGCCAGGATCCCCATAGGGGAGGTTGCTACAAGCATGACAAAAATTCCCTGAGCAAAGTGCATGTAAACAATTGTGTATTGAATAGACCTGGTTCAGAGATGCAGCAGTCAGTCAGATATGGCAAAATAAAGGTACTTTCAAAAGAAAAAAAAAGACAACTCTGATCTTTTCCCACATCTGTGTATTTTGCAATAATTGAGCAATGGATATGTTTATTGAGGTTTTTTTTTTGCTTTTGAAAATAAAGTTAATGAACAAAAATGGGTTACTTATATAGTTGATTGTGGAATTGCTAAGCTTTCTTTACAATACCTTTGAAAAGGAACAAAACTCTGATCTAAGATGAAATTGACTATGGCGTGTAAAACTTAGAGCTCTTTTTTTCTGTGCATGTATGTGTATTGAAGTATTTGTGTGTCCTTGAGGTGAAAGAATAATGAAAATGCCGCAGGGAAACTGATGAAGCTTTTACACAGCTGTCAGATATCTTTAATCACCAGAGACAAGTTTTTAAAATTCTGTTAGGAAAATGTTAAAATAAGCCATATTATATAATTTTCACTCTTTTTTTGCCTGGCCAATAAAACAGGGTGAAGAGAGCTAAGCTCCCTTTTCTCTCTGTGCTTTTAAGAACAGCCCAAATCTGTCAGGAGGAAATATTCTAAATTCATTTAAAAGTAAATGTTTATTTTGGATTGTATGTTTGCTTTAGCTAACTGTATTGTGGGTGGATTTCATCTGTAAATCATGAGATATGCCTGTCTACAGATGGCGACTTATTTCTGTCTTCAAGTCTGTTTGTGCATTTCTTCTCTTGTTAGCTCATTTCAGTATACAAGCAGGAAAATAACTTTCCCAATATCTTTAAGCTTTGGACTTCCCAAATTTTGCCTGCAAACTATTCACCCCACCCCATTTCTCCATCTCTTCCCAGTTTCCATTCTTCATCTCCTACCAATTGCTCTACAAATTCCTATAGAGCTAAAACGATAATAGAAACTGAATGATTCCCCCATGGTAGCTAAAGGAACAACTTTGTCACATTTAAATTAGAAAAAAAATAGTGAATTATAAAAGAGTGAGAAAACTTGATGTTTGCGATGAAAAGACTAAATTCTTTCAATAACAAAGGGTTGTCTTTCAAATTTAGTTTCTGCATGCTCTAGGAGAGGAGAAGTTTGGGCATTTTCAGTTACTTTATAAGCCATGTTCCCTGTAAGGTCTTGAGCCTAATAAATATTGTCTCAAAGGGTCTCTTGTGTTCTAAGCGATTGGGCGTAGAGGGCTGAGGCATTCCTTTCAATGTGCATTCTCCTGTGCTTGCTTATTTTCACCTGCAGATTATCCCCGAACTGAAGTAAACGGGATGGGAAAGTGAGGAAAGGGCTACAGATACACTCCCCCTTCTTCTTTCCCAGCCACCTTCTATGTTGAGTTCTGGATATTCTGTAGTAGGCAATTTCTTAATCATTTTTTGTTAAGGTATGCTTGATTTTTAAAAGTATATGCTTTCTTTGTGGGAAAGATGATTGATAGTTATGTAAATGGGATATTGATAGGAAATGGACAGATTGTATAGTGTGTAATGTGTGTATGTATCAGGATCTGAGTGATTTCTCTCTTTTGCATTCTGGTTCTAGCCAAAGGATCAAAGATTTTAAGTTTGGCATGCTTCTGCTTAATATAATTTAAGATCTAATAAAGTATATGCATTTGGAACTCCTTGCTACTACAAAAAGGGGTGGCAAATTATTGTTAAGTGTGAGTACTAAATCTGTTGTCCTTTTCCTTGGAGCAAAGGAAAAGAAGGCAAAGTGTTTGCTTTTTTTAACAGAGCTAGTTTAGTGTAGTTGTTAAGGCACTGAACTGGAAAGTAAAGGAGATTGTGAGTTTAGGTCCTGCTGTGGCTATGTGGGCCAGCTGGATGACTTTGGGTCAGTCGTTCTCTCTCAGCCCTAGGGAAGAGGCACTGGCAAGCCACCTCAGAAAAAGAGGGCAGGAAGAAGGGGTCAGCACAAAAAAATGTTTCCCCCCCCCCCCCCCCCCCCCCCAGGAAATTGTTATGTAAAAGTTCATTTAATCTTCATAAGACAAGGGGGTTGTATTAGTATTTTTTCCTGGCAAACATGATGGGACTAGGGAAAGGGGGACTGGTTGGAGGGGAGCCGATGGTCATTTCACTCTACAGCTACCTATTCCTACCTGCTGTGATTTACATTCCAGCTCAAGTCTGGCCTTTGAAATGCCTAACTCTGACTTGTGTCTTTCATCTTCTTATATATATGTATATATAAGCTGGACCTTAGCAAACCTATCAAGTAAGACTCCAGGGAATATTTGCAGAAGACTGGGCATGTATAATGTGAGGATTGAACTTGTTGGGATAATCTTATCATTTCACACAGAATAGAAGGAATTTGGTTGGCAATAACAATATGTGGATGATACTGGGTAAAGATCAAAACAGAGGAATTGGAAGCGTTCATTAAATATATCAACTCTGTGGACATATACATCAAATTCACAAGGGAAGATGTTAAGGAAAATAGTCTAGCCTTCCTGGACTGTGCAATGCACATTAAGGAAGACAGAAGCCTTAACATTGAAGTTTGTGGAAAACCCAACACAGAGATCAATATTTACCTTTTGATTCCCACCACCCACTGGAGTACACAATGGGAGTCCTCAGAACCTTACATCATCAAGCTGAAAGCCTGCCTACCAGCAAAGATGGGAAAGAAAATAGCATCAAGGAAGCCCTCAGAACATGTTGCTATCCCATGGGTCTTCATCAAATTTTTAAAAAGACCCTACAGCAGCTCCTCCATAACAGACAACAGAATAATAAATGAAGCAATGTCATTCCATACA